AATGAGTGGTAGTTGGATGGGGCCAAGTCTGGTGAACATGCCACGTGTGGGAGGACTTCCCATCCCAAGTTCAAGAGGGTGTTCTGAGTCGCGCGACCAACGTGAGGTGGTCGAGCGTTGTCATGCAGCAGCAGCAGCAGAATGACTTGCCTGCCTCCTTTCTTAGTGAATCGCCTTTTCTTTGCTCAGTTTGTTCATTTGTTAGCTGCGGCGCCCCGCAGTCACTGTCGCTTTCCAACCAGATACACAGGAGCACCTTCTTCAAGTGGACGTCCTGTTTCAACGTCGATATACTACTGGGTTGTCCGGGAAATACTCACGAAGTTTTACATTTGGGATTCTCGTGATAAAACACATACTTTTCATCACCCGCCACAGTTTTTCACAGGAGGTTCAATCACTGCTTGTTGCCGGCGGGCAAGCAGTGAAATGCATTTGTCCATACGTTGACCTAGGTGATTGTGTACGGCCAACGTGTGTGGGACCCAACTTCCAAATTTTTGAAATTTTCCCCTTGGAAGTAGTTGTTTGAATGACTCCCAACTGACCTGCAAGCTCCTACTGCGTTTGCCTTGAGACATCATCTAATTGATCTTGCAACTCCGCATCTTCAAACTTTCGTGGCTGCTGTTCGGGGAGCGGCTGGTCACCAGGATCGAAATCACCGCTTCTAAAACGTTTGTAACAATAATAAGACATTTCGAATGACACAAAGTCGGCACCACAAACACTGCAGATTGATTCCCGTGTTGTAGAGGCAGTTTTTCCTAGTTGGAGTTCGTACGAAAATGCAGTGCCATCGAATGTGCTGTTTATCGGTTGCCATCGTCATAAACTGCTGTTCTTTCAAGGGTATGTAACTCACGTAGGCTTGTCAATCGGTGTTCTGAAGTCTTGCGTCCGATCTTCTCAAAGACACACAGGACCGTGAAAGTATTTTCTCAAACCCGATCAGGCGTCCAGGTTCACCAACTGAGGTTTGGTGAATTCTCGTTGGGTGGTTCGATTCTGCCATATCAATCCCGAAGCTAGTGGCTCTTCGCATGTGTGTGGACTGATTACTGTTGGTGTCGTCAAATGGTTTGTTTCAGACTCGGGACATTCTAGAGAACCACCCACATCCCAGGAGCACAAATCACACCCTCGAACTGCCTATGGTGAACTCAAAGATGACGCCAAATGTAGAAAACGCTTTCGTAGAACGCAGCGAAAGTCACTTCATTACCCGGTGGAAGTGGTGATGGGAAAATTACTGTGCATAAACTTGTTCAATTTAGTTGTGTCCCTGTATCAGAGTTCACACAACGCCGTGTATTGGCAGACTAGGCACAGTTGCACTCTCGTACGGTTGCTCAAACCATGTAGACGCTAACAAAGCGAGGTGGCGTGAACACGGATTAGTCTAAGAGACGTATTGATACGCGTTGAGAGAGAGAGAGGATAGGCCTGAAGAAATATGACTCATTACACCTTAGTTTTTGAAGTATCATACTACCAAGGTATCGCAGTTAAAACCATGAGAGTCACATGACATCAAGCTAACAGATTATTCATCTATGTTGGCTAAGTGCCTAACGAACGGAGAACAAAGCCACGAGCCGAACGTTTGCAAAACAAGTGCCCAAGTTTGTGTGTTGTGGTGGCCTGTTTTGTAGGGCCTGCCGCGTGAGTCATACTTGCACAAAAGCGAGGAAATCCGTATAGGATTATCGTTGCTTCACCATTTTCCGCTGTAAATTCATGACGGGTATTGAGTGTAGGCGATCATTACGAAGAACGTTTCTCATTGGCCACGTGTTAATTACTGGTAAATTCGTTTGGCTGCCAGCCAAACGTTGACTCAAGCGCTTGACTAGCAGGTTATTTGGCGACTTCGTATTCCTCCGCCTTGTTCTCAGGTACTTTTGTTGTAAGGTAGTACAATAAGCCGGTAAAGAATGCACAGGAATTAGAGCTTGTGAAAGAGATAAACATTTATTTAAAAAAACAGATCCTACTAGTACTTAATGAAAAGTACAATAGCTTGTGCCTGCCACGTACTTACCGCTATCTGTAATCCTTTAGATGGTATCACCATCTGAAGGTCATCGCGAGGTTTCAAGGAGATTTCAAGAGGTTTCACGTTGTAGTTTTTAACAAGGGCAGATACATATGGCATTCATCCATCTGAAAAGACATTGGCAGGAAATCCACTCTGATGCCAATAAACAGGTGTCTTTGATGAATGACAGTGTTAATATTTGTGGGAACGAACGGTAGTGTAGACTTCCGACGCTCGCGATGATTGGCTGATTTAAATTTGATGCCGCTTAACATTAGTAAGGAGGGTACGTAGTCAAAAGCTTCGTTTGATATGACTAAAACGTCGCCTCGATAGTTGCTTTGGGAGGGGGGGGGGTTGACATGAACCTACTCGAGACCTTGTGGGGCGCAAATCTAGGTGTTTCGACTTTTCTAAATACATTACCATCATTTTCGGTGTTTAATTCTTGTGAATTAGGAATTACGACGGAGTTTTCAGTCAGCTTTGTAGAAGTTCTATAGGAAAAATAACCACGTCGTGTAATTTAGAATCATTATTACGGGTTTGAGATAACGGATTTGTGTCTGCGCTCATCCGTGCTGTTTTTTCATAACAAGCTTTTTTCGAAGTTTAAAATTCCAGAAGGCTACTTCTTTCACACAAGAGACTAATGACGTATCGTGCTTGCCATTGGTCAAACTAAACGTGTGCCACTGTAAAACTTAATTAGATAATCTGTGTTGAGTGGCATTGCGTGAACAAAGAGTTGACTGTCAGGATACCGATAATTTGATAATGCAATTCAAGTGGTGTTTAACGAGATAGTGGTTTTTTTCATGCTAACTGCGTCACCAAAATTTTTCTACCTACATAAATGGTTGCGCAAACTCGCTAGTCGTTTTAAAAAGTCCTCAATTGATTCAGTAATTTGAGAATATAATATGAGAAGAACTTAAATTCCCGTTTGCTCTATTATTGTTTTTAATGACACCTTGCTTGAGTTGATCATCGTCAGTCTTCAGAAATAGGCAATATCTTTCTCGATTTTGACCCCAAATGACTTAACGCCTGGGTTGGTTTTTAAACATAGTGTTCACGAAGAATCAAGTAAGGCAGAAATTTTACATCAAACTTAGAAGCTGCAAGTTCATCAATAATGACTCTCCGCAGAAATTTGACGCCATATCAGATGGCTTGATTTGTCGAATCAAATTATCTGAAACCGGACGACCACAATGAGGCAGTTGACGAGGTTTGAAATGGACTGTCTTATGCTTCAACATCCTAACTTCCATGCCCACAAGGTCCGTTATTGATGTGTGAATAAGGTTTGCTAAATGACTCAATATATTCGTTTTTCACAGATTCCAAGATAGGCCTATCAGAAGCTGACCCTTGAATAACCAGAAGATGCCACTTCGGTGAATGTCTTTGGCAGTCTACCTGTAACACCAAGACTCCTTGTGGTGAATGGAGTTAATTTACGTCTCAAATCTCTTTCAACAATCTGCTATCCTACCCATTACCACTTTCTGCATCTGTGTGTACCTACGTTAGTGAACGGCGCTGACGATGCGTTATCCTTTTTGAAAAAAAGGCACAACTGTTTCCCCTTTGGCTCTCAACACTTTTGGGTTCCAGCGAAGGGAGAACTGACTTCCACAAGTGGCAAATGCGGTGTGAATTCTGCCACATCGAATAGCACTCTACTCGCTGTTTGTTTTATCGTAAATTCAAGACGTCATGTTATGCGGATCGTTGATGCTGAATTACACTATCAATTTGCATATTCACAGACATCAAGAGTAAGTGTGACTCAACACTTGCCAACCACCCACCTCGAAGACTTCGAAAATGTTAAATGAACGAGGCGTTTCAATTCATTCGATTGAATGCGCTACACACCAATCGGCTTTATAATGACTGTCATTCCTACGTTTTTTTATATCAGCGATCTTGGCTTCACACACAAATTTTGCAGGCGGATTGGCACTTCCTGCAATGAACGTTTGATCAGAAGGAGAGAGGTTCCATGTTTCACTCAATGCCTTTTTTGTAGGTCATACTTCAGTAGAGGTTTAGCCCTCAATTGCTCCACACGAAATCCAGGCTCGTGTTGACGATCGACACTAAACGACTTACATGCATTGCTCACTAGTTTAATTATTAACGGGAGCAGTGGCCGTCGGGGCTGCAAACTTGTGTGGATTGTTCTCGTTAAATTCAAGCGTTCACCTTATGCACTATGAGCACTTAATTTGTTGAATCCGAGGTCGCGTTAACGGATGGCACAGCCGTAATGCCTTGCAAGAATTTATCGATCATGAAGAATCCGCATCTCCTCCTTCAGCGGATGTCTACCTGGAACCACCACCGGATAGGCGGTAATACTGCAAGTTCGTTTCGACAATGAACTGGAATGGGAGGCGTGGAAGGCTGAAATTTCTCTGACAAGCAAAGTTGGCTCACATGAGTTCAAGGCTTGGCCGGGAACTACTGACTTGCTAGATGCACGAAGGTTGCAAATTAAAAATAGGGTATAGTGTGTGTATTTAAGTGCTGGTTACAGAAAGACGTGAGAATCTGTAAACACATAAGATCTGCAGAAAGGCAACCAAAAAGAACACTTGTACATAACAAAGCGAGCAGTAAAATGAAATTTACAAGACAATGGAAAAAAAGGAACGACACGGGCGCCGAGAGGGTGGAGCGGTGAGACAGCGTGGAATCTCTTCCGTGCACGTGGAAGATGAGACGGTGGATTGTGTTGGCGATGGCGGTGGATGCTGTACAGAGTGAGCGGCAGAGGAAGCGACGCTGCCGCCGTTTTCTTGTTTCACTGTTTTCGCGTGCAAGTGTTCACCGAGAGACGGAAACTGGTTGTGTGTGGGGGGGGGCGTTGCTACTGGGAGCAGGACGGGTAGTTGATCTGCTCCTGCGATGCTGTGAAGGGGAACAGCGGCTCACGGTAAACCTACAAACGAGACGACAGACGAGGAGGCGTGATCGGTAGAGTCACGAAATGCGTGTGGGAGATTAGATGGCGCACAAGGCGATGGGTAAACAAAAGGGAGCAGGGTTAAGCGAGAGTGCGGGTGGGATGGCAGAAAACTCGTAGGCTGGCTACGCAAAAGCAGGTGTGCTATCAAAGCGAACCCGGGTGTCCGCGTGGACACACATTCACGCACAAGCACCACCTACTGTCATGGAATTGGTGAAGATCTTTTGAGGTGGACTGTGCTCAGAACATTTCCTCCGTTACGGGCGATTCGTCGTGTGAACGATCGACGAGCTACAAACACGATAACAGAGGCACACATTTAGGAATGCAAGGTGAGCAGAAAAAAGCGATTCAATTAACCGAGTAACCAAGTGGTTTATTCAAGTGTTTGGAACCCCTCATGGGAGTTGTGAATGACGCCATAACAAAGCTCCACCGGAAAAGCAACACCAACATCAACTAGTAGAAGTTCACACAAGAAATCGACATATTGACCACCGCGAACGTCACAATGACACAAGACATCCACAAACCATGTGAAGTCTGACGGTTGACAAGGCTCCCACCAACACAGCTCACCTTATTCAAGGAGCCTCTTCGACGTAGTCGGTGACGTCGATGGGGCGCTTTGACGACGGCCACCTTCGGCGTGATTTCGCCATCCGACAGGCCCACCTCGGTGAGACTCGCGCCTTTGTCGGCACTGCGGTGGTGGTGGGAGAGTTTCGTGGTCGCCATGGTGTAGCGGATAGAAGAGAGCTCGGGGTCGGACGCGGTCACCAGGAAGTCATCTGCCGCGTCCACGGCCTCCACGCCCTCCTCGTCGTCCATCGAGAAGTCCCCTTCGTTATCCGACGGAGAGCCTTTGGTTGGAACTAGGCGCTTAGAGTCTGGAGTGACGGATTTGGCGAGGACGGGAGCGCGGGAGCGTGGTTTGCTTCGCCTGGTCGATTTCCTCGACTTGTGCAGTTTCGAGGGCGCGTAGAGCCACTGCTCGGCCAGGGGCAGCATCTTCCCGTCGTCCATCCTATCGAACGCCGTGGAACCCAGGGCCAGTTTGGAAATGCGCTCTGGATGAAGTCGTAGCCATGTTTTCCACCATTCGTCGTTAAAATCTGCAATTTAGACAGCAAACTGATTCAGCAATTGGGTTTTTTAAGTGAGAAATTGATAACGACTGTTTTTTTCGGTGACAAAAAGGTGCGAAATGGCGTATTCAAGGCACAGCATTCCTACCTGGACGATGACGACCTTCATCGGCCTCAGTCGAGGGCGGTGGCGACATTTTCTCCAGGCTGCCTCGGCGCTGAAGGGAGCAAAGAATAGAAGAAGGTAGTGGTGGTGGTGGTGTTGGAAAAATAACGTCCAGCAAAAGACGCTCAAACGCTGAAAGCACAGCCAATAAATGCGGCTGCTTTGTTGCTTGCAACGTCTCTCAGACAACGTAGCGAATCGACCAAATAGGGGACATTTTTTGCAAGGCGCGCAACTGAACAGCAAGATCAATCAATGCGGCCAGGGCACAAGGGCACTGGCCTGGCATCAGAGATACCAACTACCTATGCGGGGCGTGTCACGCGGAAGCTAAACTGTGGAAAAAAAGGCGGTTACTTCAACGGTTAACAAGCAAACACACAGTCAAGCTGGAGCAAAGACGTCTATTCGTGCGTTAAGGCAAAGACCTTACCCGCTTGACAGCCGTCTCCGCCACGTGCGAGTCGGCAGCGGTCGGATCCTGGTGTGTGGCGTCGTCGGCTAGGACGGAGGACGTGGAGGTGGATAGCGCGCCGATTGACACCGAACGCGCCTTTCTGTGGCCACCAGAACTCCTGTATCGCACGCGTTTGTACGTGTTGGGCATCATCTGGTTGAAGGCACCGGACCTCTGCCACTCCTCCAGCATCTCCTTCCCGTAATTGTAACCAACCGCCTAATGGGACAAACGGATGATGGGAGAAGCGACAACCAAGGCATCAAAGTACATAGCAAGGTCCTCAACTCATACAATGTGGGTTTTGTATGGACAACGGATTTACAAGAATGTGAACCTTAAAAAACGATGCGCAATGACCACGAGATGCGCGTATCTGCTGCAAATTTTGCACAATGATCTCATGACACTTTGTTTACGCAATGAATGTGTGCGACCTACGTCAAAACACGCATGAGAGTACAACACGAGGGAAACCACAACACATATTGGAGTCGCTGGAATGGTTGGGGAGGGGGGTTAAGAGATTCGGGGTTGGGCCACAACATCACGTGGTGAGCGCGATTACGTCATGTGCACACGCACCTGACTTGATGGTGTACTTTGCAGAATCGCACACTTACTACAATCTCCTCGAAAGCGGAAAATTGGAGTGTCATGAATCGGTCGATTGGGGGACGAAGGTAGTGGCATATTCCGCTGGATTTGACTTCTTCCAGCTGACGGATACAGGAGATGTAGGCGAGACGCGACTGAATTTCTGTGAAGTTGGGCACCTAAGGCAGGAAAGGTGGAAAATGGGCAGTTGGAGCCGGATAACTCGAAAACGAAACCAACCTGACGATACATTAAACCAAGCGATCTCGCCTCTCCAGGCATGACCGGGGAATCGGTAATCGATCAAGGGAATCGGATGAGCAGTGCATTGCGAGTTTGCATGTGAGTCGCAAATTAAATTTTGCAAACACCTCACAATTGCAAAACCCCTGTTACCCCCTAGTCCACCACAAGTCGATCTCTGGTTTTGTGGAAATACCCCGGGCTTTGCTTTCTCTCAACCCACAGTCCCACTTGGCTGCACAGACTCCCCCACAAACCACAACCACCCACGAAACCAAGGCGAACAGACACACACGCTGTGAAGTTATCTCCGTCACTGCCCACACCACTGCACTTCGACACAAGCGTGGTCATTGAGTGCGGTGAGCAGCCAGTCGAGAGGTGGTTGCCACGTCAGCGCTCGGTTCGTCGACAAAACAAAAGCGGTTCTTCAATGAGGCATGACGTCCACGTGCATTGAGACCTCAAGACAGTGCGATTTTTCGCCTAACGAAATACCCAAACAGTACACGACCCGTCACCGTATTTAGACCATTGATCGACTAAGCACACGTGGATTGGAGTACAGGCAATTATCACCAAACAACCAAAAACCCTAGTGTCATCTGATGTGTTCCGGAGGAGGGGGGGTTCGAAAGGATAACCTCTCTGGATGCGATCACTTGCCCTCTGGTGGAGGCCAAATGCGATGCTTCAAACCAACCCCCCGCTTCAACATTGAGTTCCTTCTCTGAATCCTCACAAAAACCAGGAGTGGGGATCCGTCTGATCGCTGAAGGACTGTGTTATCACCATCAGTGAGACCACCTTCCTTACAAATTAACTCACCAAACAGAAAAGACAACCAGCAGTGCACGATTACACAGAACGGCGATTGGACAGTTTCCGGCGATTCTGTCCAGGTATCTTGAACAGCCCACCAGGCACTTTCTCCCCCACCAATTGGAATTCGTTTGCCTTCCACCGTTTGAAGAGTGGAATTGTGCAGAATAGAAGCACATGTAGCTAGCTAGCTAGCCATTAGGGTGCTACGATTTATCGATGACTACAGGAGCAAGTCGAGCACACATCGGCTAATTTTCGTCTGTGTGCAGCACCAGACGGCTTCCATTGAATTAGGCAACAGTTAATGAGGAATACATCTTCAACTAGGCGGTACACGTAGTACGACTCCAACGGTTGTTTCTGGCATGACATAGATTCGTCTAGTAATGTAGAAATACCGGTTGTATCTGAGGTGTAGTCTCCGGATCGTGCTTGAAAATTCGATTGATCAGCCAAAGATGACACAGCGGGAGTCCAACAATATTTTGAAGGTGTTGCTGACTTGCCCTGAGAGGATATCAGCCCAAACCACAATCTTTGTTTACCTGATCGCAAATCTGCGCCGTGAAGGGGTAAATCGATAACAAGAGGTCACCGAAGGTTCCCACAACACCTGCACCTTCTGGCAGACAGGAATCGTGAGACAAGCTCGGTTAAAATTCAAGCATTTTAACGTCTGCAGATGCAATGTGAACGGACTAATCACCAATGCTAGGTAGTAGGGGGCAACGAATGAATGACTTACGCGGATTGGCGGACCCCACCAACGGAAGAAACGCTGGTAAATCAGCCACCAGCCGGACAGCCAATCGCCGTAATTGGTCAGATTTGTATCATAAACCGAACCCACGTCCACGGCGTAGATGGTCTTCGCGCCGAACGACGCCATGATGTCAGCTAAAGGCGACAGAAAACAAAACAATGCACATAAGGCGACTGAGGTGTCAGTAAATGTAGCAAAACATTAGATTCTACTGAGTCAATGAGAGCGGTGATAGCAGGGGTTAGTCAGCTTCACGAGTTAAAAAAAAGCAAGCATTTAGGGCAAGGGCAAAGAGAACCAATTAAAGCGGTCTGGGAAACATGACTAGGCGTTCGTGGAGCGAGTAACCTGTGAGTTCATAGAAAGTTGGACGAAAATGCTGAACATTGGAACCTCTGCGTTTGTTGTCCTAGATCATTCTGCAGAGAAACTATCCGGTACGCATTTTCAGTATTATCGTTAGCTAACGTAAGAAGCATCGTTAGAAAGACGGTGTCGAAACAGACAAGCGCCTAAGAGCTATGAGGCGGTCAAGTGGATGCGCGGACGTGGATGGACTCGACAGAGCGAGGCAAAAGCGCGGCATAGCGGAAGCATTTGTGCCGCCCAAGACGGTGATGCAAACTCACCGGGTACGTTGTTGGTGTAGCCACCATCGAGGAGGTAGCTGCCGTCGACTGGATCGCAAAGCGGCGGCATATAGCCTGAAAGCGACATGCTCGATCGGACGTAGCGCCAAAGCGAGCCTGTCCGAGGATCGTGCGGTGGGGTGGGGTGGACGGATGGCAGAATCGAAACGGACAGCAAACGAAACAGAGACACTTATGAGAGTTTAGAAAAAAGGTGTGCCCGCTAGCCGACACAGCTTGACCGCCCGCCCGCCTGCCTGCCTGCGCGCCCGCCCGCTTGCCCACCTCTCTCGATCAGGCTAGACACATCACCGCGAAATTAAAGCAAGCATCCCGTCATTAATCACACGGGGTTACGGGGCAGGGAAGGGGGTGTGTAGGTGCTTGTGGGGGGTAGGGGAACTGGTGGCTACCTGGGACAACATTGACGAAGACACCGTCGACCAGGAGGTGGCCATCACGGGGGTCGCAGAGAGGAGGCAGGAGCAGGGGGTAGGTCATGCTTGAGCGCACATATCGCCACAGCGAGCCTTTGTGTGGGAGGGCAGGGGATCAGTCAAAAAGGCGTCAGCACTACCTACCTGCTCAGGACTAAAATAACCAAGGCTAGCACCCACAAAAACCACCCCGACTAAGCGCACTCCAGTGGCAATGCAACTAATGACAAGCGGTCTAAAAGCAGCTATTCGTGGTGTCCAGGATTTGGGAGACACACACGTCTAAGATGCGTCTCCTGTTGTGCAAGAGGGCGCAACAAGGCTTGCGCACATCCCCATGGTCGCCTACGCAGTACGCCCAAATCGATGTGCGCATTTCGCTCGCAACACTCAAACAAGCCAAATTAATCAATGGGACAGCAACGAGGAGTGATGTGGGGATTGGAGACTGATATTTTACTCTACTTAAATCAATTCGACACTTGTGACATGACAGGCCCCTTCCAGTGACTTGTGTTTGAGCATTTGATAAAGTAGACACTGCTTTTTGGGCAGCTCTACGCTCAACATGTTTCACAACAAACAATTGCTTTGGCTGGAAGATCACACACTGCGTTAGCACTGGTTTGAGGTCGGTTTCTGGCCTCTAAGGTGAACAAAATTCTTACAATGCCTTAGCACAGTGCTAGAGGAAATTTGACAGCATCTTGGGCGTCTAGCTCGAAGTAATTCTCGGCTAAAACCAGCAGGATAGGGGGCAACAACTCACCGCTTGTGTGAACTCGCATCTTACAATTACTAATATCAGTGGTGACGCAGAAATAGGGCAGCCACAAGTCCTCAATCTGACGATCCTTGAATGTGGCCTCAATGTAGGCATTGAATTCGTAACCTTGAAAACAGGAAGAAAAAAACGGGCTTATGTTGGCGTCGCTAAGACGAATCGGGGGCTACAGCATGAGAGAGGTGTTTTGGCAAATGAAAGAGCAAGCACCGATTTGTGGAGACCAGGACGTCCTCTAAATGTACACGGAAAACTAGGGTAAAAAGAAGCAGAACTCTCGAATTATTGCGAACCAATCTAATAAATAAAAAAAGCCTAAAAATAGTGCACGAGAATGCAATGAGACACAGAGCGGCCTCGGCTGGGTGTTGGGTATTAGTGTGCTCTAGTAAATCTGCATTGGCGGACGAAGGTCACCGGATTCGATCCTCAAATGACCGTCATTTCGGCGCACAATCTGCAAATCGGCATTCGCTTAAAGACGGCACTATGCTTCCACGTTTCACAGTCAACTAAACTGACGACGTCCGAATTGCCTAAGCCGCAGAAACCAAGCCAGATTGTTGTTACACCCCAGAGGCGTTGGAGTGGCACGTGCCGGATCATGGGAAGTGTTAACGCACGCCAAGAGATTCGTACGTTTCTGGAATTTTTTTAAAATTCTTTTTCATTTCTGGAATCACGTGGGCGTGCAGGGAGAGACAGCGCTTTGCAGTAACGCGGCATGCGTAGATACTGGGGCGTCGGAGCGACTGGAATGCGCAACACGAAGAGCGCGGTGATTGGTTGAGTACTTAATTAATAAACGACTAAAACACCACCCACTAGGCAGCAGGAGGAATCACACAATCCCCCTAAACCCCACAAGCATGACGTAAAGAAAAAAAAACGCCCCAATGTTACCTCGTGACAATTTCAAGTGATATCGCACAAGAATACGGATGACCCAGTAGAGGACTGCCACTACACACACACACACACACACGCACACACACGCACACACACACACATGAACAATTGAAAAGCACTTTAAGCACGAAGCGCAGAGGCATCTAAGTTGCCGAAGGCACTTGTCTACTTGCAATTTTGATCGTGTTTAGGCCCTAAGCAACCGGGTTTGGATGTTGACTACGGCCTGGCTAATTAGCAAAACAAATGAGGCAATGGCAATTCACGACGGTGGATGGACGGAAGGCTCACCGGAGAAGAGGGAGACAGTGGGGTAGGTGAGGTCGCGAATTTTGGGCCAGATCGACTTGAAGACGAGGGCGAAGTCACGCGAGCGCTGCGAGAACTCCGCCACGCGCGTCTCCTCGGCCCACATCGCGCCAATCAGCGCGCCGATGCTTGTTCCGCCCACCATGTCTATCGGTATGCCGGCCTCCTGGTGGACACAAAAAGCCACACAGGGTAAACAACAGTGACACGAGGTGTGGGCAATAAATGTGATCGCTCTTGGCAAACACTCCTATCTCGCTAATTGAATAAAAAAGGGGAATTTGGAGATACTCACGTTATTCGACTAATAAGACCAGAAAATAGGTGTCAGATGATCATTCGGCAATGGCGAAAAAGCAAACGAATGAGAGGTCTAGCCAACAAGCTCACATTTAAGACACTTTGCCCTGCTCAGTGTAGTCTGATGGACAAGAAAGCCATTAAGCAAGTGTCAGATGGCAGCAGGGCAAGGGGAATTAGGCGACACGACACATTTCATGCAAGCTGGTTGGCTGACGAACGACCTTGTTGCGCAGTGGAGGCGTGCGAAAACACCAGCCTGAGGTTGCAGCAGGCGGCACAAGGCCGGCTGCTCCCTGTAACATTTGGCGCAAAATTGCTCCCTTTACTCTCGCGCTAACTCTAATTAACCCTGGTTTTGATTGGCTATTCCGCAAATCCTCTGCTGTTTAACTGATCCAGGGAAGTCATTTTGATTTGCCAACCAGCTAGTGAGCGACAACGTCTATAGGAGGTAACTCGAGCCCAGGACAAAATCTCAAAAAGCCAATTCCGTTAAAATATCACTTGAACGCATTAATTACTAGTTTTTGTCGTTGAAAAAAGTCAGTAGCAGATTTACCGCAAGTGTGCAGCAGTTCGTAGTGTCCAAGTGTCTAACATCAGCTGAGATGAAACAAGGTTGATCTTATTACCGGAAAACTGAGAAAAATCACTACAAGGAAACGCGTTTTTCCTGCACTTTAACGAATTTCGAAGACAAACATCGACGACAACAATCTAAGGCAACACCAGGTTACCAGAAAAACCCGCTTAAGTTGAATTGGTTTTAACGGACACCAAAACGCGCCCGAGAGTCGTGTCAGTATTTTACGGTAAGCTGGGTGTAATGTTACTGTCCGTATTCTAGTACACCCATCGGATTCCAGATCCTACCTGAAGGACACGAATGATGCCAACATGGGCACCACCCTTGGCACCGCCACCACCAAGCACCAGTCCAACAGCCTGGCCGGTGAGGTAGCGCACGAGACGAGACATGTCGGAGTGGGGATTGGGCTCTTCGACGAGGAAGACCTGGCTGTAGAAGGTGATGAGGTTCTTGACGGTGGGGTTGAGCACGCGCGGCGGACAGCGGATGTGGTAGTGCTGGGTCACCCAGGGGCGCGCGTTCAACCACGAGGCCGTCTTCTTGGCTGGTGGGTACTCCGTTTCCAGGGGATACATCAGAACGAGGATCTTCGTTACCTGGCGGCGTGGAGGAAAAACTTAGCCAGACTCGAAACCCAGACATCGGCGTTGTTGGCAGATTACAACGGAAGCATACCTTTGTGGTGCAGGAATCGATGACCTGCTCCACCGGAGACAACTTTGAGGGGTCTTCTGTGGAGCCGAGAGCCAAGACAACAACACAGTCGGCTTGACGAAGACATCTACGTGTCCAAGCGGACGACCGATGGCTATCCGCTATGTAGAAGACCATTCTGTGGAGATCCTCCTGGTGACTGAGCCATGAACACAAACGGTAGTCGTTCAGTGGCTCGAAGGCGTTCTCGCCTATTCGCTTTTTGATTATGTCTAAAGGGAAAAAAGGAGTTCTACGAAGAATGCTCGGTTAGTGGTATCGAAGGCCAAATTAACTGTTGGAGGTTAGAAGGAACCTTTTGTCTAATTAGAGATGCGTGCGCAGTGTCGATGGAAAGACACATTCTGGAGCGTTGCAAATGCAACCAGAAAGGAGTCGTTTGTAGAACAGGCAAGCCTGGCGACAAGATTATTGCTGACAGGGACTAAGGGCATGATAGCAGCAATACTGACGATGTGTGCAAGTGGGTTATGACGTCATACCTGGCGAGCATAGCCAAAAGACTCACTATTGCTCAATTGGAACCATCTAGAGAGACCATGCGCGCGCACGTCAGTAGCACACAAGAGGCGAAGAGCGACAGATTAACTCATTTGCCAGTTGATGAGAGCGTCGGCTACCAATACGCCTACGCATAGAGTGCTCGTGATGTTGGATTACTGGATTTGAGAGTGACGCCTTAGGTGTGACCTTTTGTTCAGTCTTAGCTTTCAGCTTCAATGACAACCCACTGTCTATGCATTAGCGTTGAGCATTTAGCTAACTTGGCTTTAGGTCTTCCGTGGATTGTGGGTTCGAGTCCTGCATCGGTGATCACAGTCGATGGAAAAAAAGGCGTGGCTGTGTGGCTTTCTCCACCGCACTTTCATTCTCGACCGTGAATTCGCCAAAACGTGCCGACTTACGACCAGCGACTGACTGATTCACGACACATAGCTCCATGTTTTGGTTGCATCACACCAAATGTCGACTGATCGGATCAAAATGCCATCACTGAAACGCGTAGTTTAGGCATTCTTCACAAGCAGACCAGTTGTGAATTTCACATGACCCTAACGACAAAATTAGTGTTCTGCCGAACTATAAAGTGCAAATTTGACCTGAGGTCAATTTCTCAGGTTAGCTTACTCACGTGGACTACAATTTAAACTGCTATGCATTAATTTGAAAACCTGGATTCGCCAGTGTTACTGAGGAACACGGGATAGATTCCAGGACTTGAGACGATGAAATCGCGATCACGATGGGCTTCCGAGTACGAGCATGGGCGTCGCATTAAGAAATCTGTCGGCGTACTTTTTCCTGGATTGCCTTGTAAATGTTAAACGACCCGGTGTTAGCTAAACTCGACGGCAAATAATCAAACTGCGCGACGTGTCGAGAACACAAAACACGCCTTTTTGGCGAACCTACACAGCACACACACACACGCCCTGTTGGCAGATGCCAACAGAGGCGTGTCAAACGTCAGGGGAACCTGGAAATGTGTGTGCTACTTAAAGGTGCGTAAAGGTATCTGCTCAGATTAACTGACATGACTAAGCCCCATTGAAGTGAGCGGCAATGGAGCGTTTCAAGTGGGTTCAACTCAATCAAAAAAACTACAAAGAAAGCACGCTGCACAATAGGGCAATCCATGAGGGGACGACAATGTACATTGACAGGTTCCAGCCGGAGTGATGGTTGAAAAGACAAGGAATTCAAAATAGGAGCAAAAATAACTATTTTTAGGTGTCTGAGCCACTGCGAACCGATTCTAAACCACGGAGCACAACAATAGCTAAGGGAGAAATTACATGAGGTAGTGAACTTATTCGTGAAAGTATTTGAACGCTCATTTGCACAGGTCTGGCCTGGGTTTCGAATTAGTTAGTCAAAGAGCCGCACTCAGACGAGGTGATTCTAATCTACCACGTTGTTTTACTGCGCTGCTTTTGGATTTGCCGGCCAACTGAACGAGATACACCTGTTAGTAAGCCAATGAGCGTGGCTTTGTAAACAGGCAGTACGAGACGACGGGAGACAGACAATAAATGGAGATCTGGATATACCAGGGACTTCTCCCTTCGAACCAACCACGAGAGCATTTGAAGATGAAGTTCTCGCCAACAACACGGTCCACGCGTGACCAGACGCAGAGCTTGCCCATCTTCCCAGCTGGAGTGCCTGAAGCTGATCCTGTGTACGCTAACACGGCATTCACAACTATTCACGAGCACACACGACCGGCGGCCTTCCTAGTCTGCAGGACCCCCGACAATTGCGTGTTTGCATACCTGACGTGAGTCGAATCGAAGAGCCGAAGACGGACATTGCGTGCTGCATTTCCAGCGTGAACGCCTCAGTGTTGATTTCGGGCGTGGTGGCGAGAATGGCGATGGCGCGGAGGTTGGCCATCACGCCGCCGCTGCCGGCGGCGTTGAGTTGCGACTTCTGAAGGACACACCTGGTGCTGTTGAGGGGCTCGCTGTTGGCCAAGTCGACAGCAGGCTGATTGAAGCCGTCAGAACAGATGGAGTAGGACGAGGGCTGCATCAGGCGGTCAGAGAGGAGTTGGATGAAGCGGTTGATGGGATTGGGCGTCAGTTGTTTCAGCCAATTTAGCAGGATAGAGGGCATTTTCACCACCTCGGAGTCACTGAAACACACAGGAATCCAATAAGACCCCAGGTGCATGACTAAGCGCAGCGCTAGCTAAATGGACTGTGAAGGAATGATGAGTGATATCCACCCTGTCATCTAACAGGCTATGCAGTGAGGACTCGAAATCCAAGGAGTTGGGGAATCGACCCACTCCTTCGCCCACATAATAGTCAGAGGTGAGTCTTACCGGATCGCCAGGACGGTATTCACGCGGGGTTTGCAGCTGGTGACCTCCACGTAGCCGAGGAAGGCTCCGCGACCGGATTCGGCAATCACGGTGCGGCTCCCATCGTCGTTGGTGTGAACTTCACGGAAACGTCCGTTCAACACCACGTAGACGTAGTTCGAACAATCGCCTTGCCTGAAACAGATATCCACGGTAAACAGCATTGCCATCTTCACGGCTAGTGGACGAATGCGCATCGCGACTGCTTCAACGGGTAGAAGAATCGGAAAAAGAGTGCAGTCACGTAAACGTGATGGACTAGGAGGTATGAATTTGGGAACTCCGGTAGTGGAGCTTGATTTGACGATTTATACAAACCGAAACCTTTTTACCTCCGGGCCACGTGCAGGCAGAGAGATTGCTAACTGTCAGGGACAGACAGCTTTGCAATAGCTAGAAAAGCCAAGATTTAGCCGCACGTGATCATGCAAAAAAACAGAGCAAACAGTGTGACCTACTAAACCAACCGCCACAATGTCGTGGTCAGGCTCGACCGCGTGAGCTGTCTAACAGACGTTTTGGTGTGCTGTGTGTAAAAAAAGGCGGAAAAAATGGGGTGATGGGGGATTGAGTTACTTGAAAAGAGCCTTCCCAGCATCAACACCGTGCCACTCGATGGCGAAGTCGGCTTGGCGGAGGAGGGGGGAGAGTCGGAGGCTGACGAGGTGGGCGGCGTTGGTGAGGACCTGGGGGTAGGCACGGACCAGGCTGAAGAAGTCGTTGCGCGGCAACACAGCGACCCGCGAGTCGGCGCTGGCCTGCACACTGCAGTTGTTCGGCTCCCCCGTGATCACGCCCAGCAGGCCAATCAGCTCGCCTGGGGTCGCCTCGAACACCGCCACCGTTTTTGTCGACGTCTGGTGAGCAACAAGAGAGGGACTGTGATTGATTTGAGTGGTCTCACGCTTGCGTAATTTGCGAAACTGTTTCTTTGTGAGTTTGCGCAACTTGCAGAAGGCTTTTAGTGGGCACAGACACTGGCTTTTTACGTGTCTGTTGAGGATATCAGGAAAATTGCCGCGCGCAACACGACGTCCTCTAACACCTAAATGGTTCCACGTTAATCACAAAGTTGGCGTTGGCTAACCTCAAAACGCAACGATGAAACCTTTCAACAGTCATTTTGCAATTGCAGGATCTGCTTTGACTCATTTACAAAATGGCAGAATTTGTGAAATTGGGATTCCGTGATGATGGCTTCGAAGAAATTAACAATTTGTTTTCTTTTTCACAAAAACCATGACGACGAAAACAGGCCTAACAATTGCTGGTCGCGGGTGATTTGAGCGATAACAGGAATCCCGCATATATGCTAATTGTTGCTTGGAAAAAGCACGCGACACTGACACGATAATCTCTGCGCGAGAATGCAAAATGTGTGTGGGCCAGGCTAGCCTCAACTGCTTAAACACTTAACTACGAGAGCATGCTAATTTGCCGTAAAGGCGTCTCGATGTAGGCCTGATTCCAAGGTGATTGATTTTTCAAGGTTATCGGTTGAGGAATAACAGTCGTTGGCATTTACGGCGTTTAAACAGGTCTCCCGAGCTAGGAAACTGGCACAACCATCTTGAGTAGACACAGTTAACCGACTGAACGAATTGTGGGCTGACACTCTATCAGAAAAATAGCTACAAAATAACTATATGTTTTTGGTAGTGACAGGAACCATTCGTCAGCTCGAAATTGGACCATTCAGCGACAATCTAGGGGCTTTAATTATTCCCTACCAGTGGGGATTGTCCTGACTGGAAGCTCGAGATATCTATTTACTGAACCTAGGTCGCCGCAGATGTGGAAAAGGCGAAAACGTACCGACCCGGGCACAGAGTTTAGCTGAGTTAGAACGAAACCCCCGGAGATTATGTAGTAGAGTTCGGGCTGAATCTCCGTCTCCTTGATGACAACATCGCCGGCATTCACGTCGATCACACTGACCATCTTATCGAGCACCTGGCCGCCCTCGCTGATGCCAAAGAGACGCGCCAAGTCCTGCTGGGCGGCTCGAACGAGGGCGTCGTGAAGTTTGGTTGAGCGCATGCTTGGCGTGCGACTCAGGCGGCCGGAGCACTCCGACACGCCGTCAGCCACTTCGCCCAGCTCGAGTAGCTTAGAGACCGAATTCGACGGTACCAGAGAGCCCATCTCGTCTAGGCTGCCGGTGCTTGTTGTGGCTTGGGGAGGAATCAGGTGGTCGGCGGTGGACGACCCAGCGGGCATCAAAATGGCCGGTTTGGATTTTCGCTTTTTGTGCGAAGAGGCTACCCAGACAAAAAACAACCACTTGGGATATGATGGTGCCCCTTTCCGACTTGGTTTGAACAGAAAATACCAGGAGAGGTCATGAACAGGTACTGCGACAACTCAAATGAAATGCTGACTTATAGGACACAACAGCGTCATATTCACGGCACTCTGGATTTCAGAAAAACAGTCGTCTAAACACCAATCAAGTAATAGATACGGTTACACGCTCAAAACAAAATGCATGCTATGAGCCAAGCTGTGTTAATAACCAATAAATCCGAAAATCTGAAACCAACAGCATTAAGAATCAGATAAAAACTAGCAGAATTTTCAAATTAAAACCAAAACATCTAAGAAATACGTTGAAACAGCAAACAGACTTACAGGGGACATTTGAGGCGGCATTACGCCCAGATTTACCGAAGCGTCCCAAAACCGATTTAACTGCTGATTCCTTTAAGAATGTCTGTGGTTCCTAAATGAGAACGAAGGAGGTGATCAGTACTGTGCTGAAATCGGAGACCACATGGCAACAAATACGACAGAAAGCATACCTGAGAAAAGAGCTCTTTATCCAGACCAAAAAAGTTGTGCAAAGCTGCGAATGTGACTCGATGGAGACGAATTATAATCATTTGAGCAAGCCGGAGGTTCGCAGGTGGAAAATCACGACAGACTTTTATCAAGTCAGAAATCGATAGACACACCACTGAGCAACGGCTCACAGCAACGGCCTCAATGTTCTGGTACTTCGGTTGAAGGTTATTCATCGCATCAATTATAGCTAAAAGGCTATATGGATTGCCTCCAGTAGTTAATTCGTGAATGGTAGTTGTTGACCCATCCTAGAGGGAAATCAAGAATATCATTCGAATTTTATTCTAATGATAAGTGCCTATAGACGACACCGTGAAAAAAATATTGCATACAAATAACACGAAGTTATTTAAGAGGATTTACAACAGAATTAGGTCAGACTGTGGGTTGTGGAGTGTTTAAGTGCAAAACATTTTTAGTTGACCGCAGTGAACATCAGCAATCTCTTCGACCTCAGTGGACCGAAAAACTAATGAAATTTAAACCTGTCATTTCCATAACAAACAATGAAGTAAAGTACACCACAAGGTTACAAAATTGATGAATAAAGTCGTCAACATACTTCATCGATAACTCTTAAATCCAGGCGTCCACTTTTTACGACGAAAATTTTATCCTCAGGATCCCCGTCGCGAAATAGGAAGCGGCCTGACCGTAATTCGATTGTGCTGATGACGGAAGAAAGGCCTTGAACTACATCACGGCCTAAGTATCTGAGAAGGCGAACATGATTGACCATAAGCTTGAGGTCCTCCGGCATATCTTCTGATTCATTTTCCGATTCTGGTTCAAAGAAAGACTCGGGCAGGTTACGTTGCTTCAACAGAGGGTTGCGTCCTTCTGGGTCGCCACTGAAGAGCCTATAATTACATGCTCGGTAACAACACAACTAAAAACCTTTTGACATAACCAATAATAAGTTCTCTTGGATTTTCACGAGATTTCGAAGCAATATCGTTAAAATTGCGGCTCAGTCGTATGGCATAATAACGAATTTTATCTCTATTCCGAAATCGAAAGCGAGGAGCCCTGTGTTCATGGCGAAGAGGTACTAGGAAGGGTGCACATAATGGGGGAAATTTATCATACCTTTATATTTCAAACGCTGCACCAGCTTCCAAATAACAAGCGCAATTAAAGGGGCAACGATAAAAAACAAAACGCCAGACAACTAGATAGATTAAAGTTAGGGAAAAACTAGGTTACATACAAAAAGTTTGTACAGTAATTCCGGTGATTTAATAACACCGGCGGTGGTTTCACACTGTCCGTCTTTTCGTAGATAAGACAATGTTGCTCTATCACCCATACATTTGTCAGCAGACATTTTTGTGAGCTTCGGTGCTCCTTTTACCGCGGCAAAAGGTTGCACGAAAACTGAAGTTGTGAGGATGAACTTAAGGCAAGCAACCACAATTTTTACCAAGGCGCGTTTACTTTAAACAACTAAAACAAAGTGATCACATTTACAGAATTTTTAAACACGTAGTATATGCGCATGTTTTATACACTTACATATATCGTTCATCCTCTTCAAGGGGTCCAGTTTTACCGCCTTTCAGTAGTGAACAAACTCCGCAACACGAGCAACAATACCGGCACATTACATTGACTAAAGTTAAAGCTGGCTATATCCGGGTATTTTGAGTGTCTATTCACGAACGTGAGACAGGTGAAGTATAAGAGGGCATGTACTTTGATGTTACCGTAGCGCTACATCAATAGTTACCATTCATTATTAATACCCTCGACATTAAAAATTGACCAATCGGAAATAAGGGTAACACCTGAGCACACATGTGTGTGCTGCATACATTTGATTTGCTCCTTATCGCGTCTTTAAAGTATCATGTTATACTCAGTAAACGAACTGTGAAAATGCAGTCTTTCTTGAACTAGGGTAAGATTAATCATTTGTTTGCCTGTTAAAAAATACTTTAAATGTTCTGCCGAATTTCTAAAGTCCTTAATTCAAATACACTTTGTTTATCAGAATATGCGCATGGTTGATTTGTAAAACAGTTTTCTCTATCATTATTTTCGTTTTCTTCAGATTTAACCTAGTGACATTGTTGCAAAATCAAAAAATGGCACGAATAATATTTGATGGATCGATGAAACTCCTGCTAACGAATTGCCAATGCCAATTTTTTAAAACACTATCGAGTTGGCTATGATAAATAATACGAAATAAATGGATGCTAGGGTTAAAACCGTACCATAGTAAACTTTTAACGTCTCTAATGTGTATTTATGGATAGTTTCTCACATAGATTTGCACAGAAGTTCTGTCAAAATGTCATCTATATCGATTTATTGGCAACCTTCCTAGAGGTCAGGCAGATTATCGTGATTTTATAACCGAAAAAAATGAATCATTTGCCTTGAAATTGATATTGACGAAACCCCAATTCATTGAATAATTTCTAATTTTTGGAGCATTTCTTATCCATATACAATTGCATCGGACTTGGTTATTTTATTTTAGTGAAGTTTGCGGCGAGGTAAGTGATTGCATGATCTTGGTCATTGTATTTTGATTATATCTGCGTATGATTTGTTAGTAGTTTTCCGGTTGCGCTAAAATATCCTTTATTGACAATCAGTAAAATTGAACAACAGCGTAAGAGCAGTAATACAAAATCATGACTAATTTCGTGATTAAACAAGGCTGTCACAAATACCAATTAATGATATCTGAATTGCTTCATTTCTTTAGCTGGTAAAAAATATGTAGAAGTTACAGCAAATTAAACTTGTAAGAGATTCTTGAGATTAAAACTTTGTTGCGATCGATTTATCTGAATATTATTAGCGAAAATGACTCACATTCTATTAGTAAATACCGACAACCAACCCTTTATGTTCAAAAGTAATTCTACTACCCAGCGAAGACAATATTTCACTGCATCACGCCAAATGGGTAGTAAAACTACTGCCAATTTTCACCTGACTCTTTTCCTGCAATACGATTACATCTCTCCCACTACCTTAGTAGGGTTGGCCCTGTTTATCTGTATCCGTTATATTTTTGTTGGCGAATCGAATCATATTTCTTTAGGTTTTTACGAATTTGGTAGAGTGACCTACGCATTTAGCATTCCCGAAAGATCACTGATTTGTGTTTATTCTAAGGCGAAACCTGATTTTAATAGTAAGAGTACCACTCCTTTTTAGGTCTTGTTTCTCAAGGTCAGAATTTTTATTATTTAGACTAAATTTTGTTGACTAATTCTGTCCGAGACCTTATTCGTACAACTTGGAAAAATAAGTATTCAAGCGACCATGGTCACTGAGAGGCGAAAATTAACTTGAGCAAGGCAAATTTTAAGTGTGATTACTGAAGAGAGAGTAGCTTACTTTAATGACGGGTGCAATTATCAATCAACCACAACAGCTTTCATCGAAGATTCGCGTCTGAATGGTTGCTCTCAAAATATGTGTCAGGCAAACGTCAAAAAGGCTATTTACACGACAAAAATCAACATTTATGACATGAATCTTTCATTTGTGTGAAACAATGTGGTCCAGTGGGACGGTCAGTTTTATGCGGTAAGTGAATAATGTTCCCACTTTACCAACAGTGTTTAAATCGGCGATTTATCGTCGCAAGTTATACATTTATCACAATAGTCGCAACATCGTAAAAGAGGGAGATTGAAAGTGATTCCCATTTTACTGATCCGACAAACTTGGGTTTCCTTAGTGATGAAATTTGAAAGGGTTGAGAAAAAACTTTAACATGAACATAAACACAGAAAAACGACTACCAGTTGCAGTGAAACTTCTCAACTTGAATAACCCTTCGTGAAGATGCGGGCAATGGCTTTTTTTAACCCATTGATAATGCTTGTGTACGCAACTTCTTTCAAAAAATATCAAAATGGCTCCTCCATACTTCAGCACCGCGTGGACTTGTCACTGCCATGTATAATCTCGACGACTATAGTCTAACGCGAATCCAATGAACCCCCAGGAAGCATTTGATAGGCGAAGGCCCCACGATGTGCTTTCATTGGCTCTCCTGTGAGCCAATCGATCTTGCCTTATCAGGTTGCACTTCATCCACCTTGATCTGGTTAGAGACTGGTTCTCCCCACAGACAATTAAACCACACAACGACAGTGGATTGGCCGAACTCCAGATGTGATGCTAATCGTCCATTTGTGCAACGATTTACTACCCATTTAGACTGACACTTGACACCCGAACAATCAGTCAGCCATCAGACGTATTCCTGGATTTTTAGTGCCTTGTATCACGACAACACGCAACTCGTTGCACTGGCATGACTTCTACAGTGAGGATCCATTTCTTGAGACAGACTTACCAGACACCGCTCTTATTTGATTGAAATGAGATAGCCAGATAGCACAAGTTGTGATCCTACACCAGCAATTAAGATTTTGCAGACCTTACGTGAATCTATGACACCTCCACGAAAGAAAGGAATAAGGCGAACGACTGTACAAAGTGTGTGCTTTAAGAATCTCTGCTTCTGCGGACAAAGGTCTTGGTGGCAACTTTCGTACCGAGAGTCTTGCGAGCGCGCGGAAGCTTGTTGCGTTTGAATTCAACTTCCCGCATCCAGTTTTCATCGGTCTAGAGGGTAAAAAGAAAGACAAAATTGCAGCAAGCTGGATGAGGCACACGTGGATAATGCTAAATTCGGTGGAAACAACGCGTTTTATGTGATCCGGGGCGGATGTAACTGATGGGCTTAACACTGCTGCGGTGCCAGGCACGATGTTATGTATAGTGACTCGTGATAATTCAAGTCCATCCCCCGTGTCGGCGCGTGTCTAGACATTTTGACAATTCACCACGAAAGTCAACAAAATTGAGCGGTCGAATAAACTGCAACATCGACACCCGCGCTCGCAGATGATGGTGGAACTCTTCGGCTGTTAGTGGGACAAAATCGGACAGCAAGCGGTCGCACAAATCACGCGTATGTGAATGAAAATCGCTGCTCAAGACAAGCCTACCCTGAGTTTGCGCAGGGAAGAGGCGAGTTCGCCGGGCAGCTGGAAGGAGATGGGGAATTTCGCTGACTTCTCGTGTTTCCGAATGGCAGCCTGGAGTTCACGCTTTTGACGGCGTTCTGCCAATTCACGCTTCTCTTTCTTAATCTCCTTGAGGATTTTGGGGATGCTGCAAGGCGAGGCGGAATAAAAAAAGAGTTTAGGAATGTTTTTAGTGTTATGGGTCCAAATCCGAATTATACCGACAAGTAACTGAGCACAAGCAACTTGGCCAGGCGTTTTAAAGGTATTTGCTGCAACGTTTCTGTGGATTGACTTTATAAATACACTATAACATGTTAACCTATAAGGATAATTTTCGAAAACGCCCCTCAGGATGTTCCGTACTTGCCGAAAAGGGTCAATCCGCTGGAAAGGCCATGCGTAGCTAAACGTAACGTTGCAAACCGTCCGAATTTCGTTAGAATTAGCATCGCTTAACAGGGAATAACCGTGTAGCAGGGTGGCTTATGATAAGCCAGCGTCCACCACGGGTTTAAACGCAGGGTACCCAAGACGAGTACAAAACCCTACTTTTCAAGGTCGTTTTGCATTTTCTTGGCGAGGTCCTTGGAGTTGGGGTTTCTGTCCTTGGCTTTCGCCTTCATGGGCTTCGCAACAAGACCCGTTTGAGGTCGGTTCCTCTTCACTGCCAACTTCTTCCTGGGCTTCAGGCGCTTGGCGCTCTGAGGATTTTCTGCGGCCTCCTTCTTCAGTTCCTCCTTGGCAACGTGCAGAAGCAACACCTGGTGGTCCACGGCGCTGGGATTGTAGGACTGACCAGCCGGACAAATTGGCTCCTGGAATAAGCACATTGCGATACTCAAGCATGTTTTGTGAGATGAGAAAACACGTCCACACGACATCATGGGGGCCTACGCTAGGCCACTTTATTTATGACTGATTAGTACTTATCGTTCACAAAATTCATAGGTTTTTCACCTGGGTGTTATGGGAAAAATTGCTAACAGAGAGCCAAGACAAAACGCCGCTTAAGTATATATTTAAACAGGACTTGAGTAAAGGTGACTTTATTAAGAGGAAGGATAATTGCATCGCAATAATCACTTTATTCAAGCTCGCCTTCAATGGAACACCTTCTTTGACGTACAAGGCAATAGAAAACAAAGCGCGAATTTGCGTCTTGAAGGCGGAAGTTTCAAATTAACTTCTAAAATTTTAAAATTTATTCCATTATCTTCCACTGGTCCAACCAATGCCACGTCAAAAATCGGTCCCAAAAACCTCTGCATTTGTAATTAATTGCGGTGAGAAGGGCAACAAGGGAAAAGACCTAGCTAGTAGTCGTACGGGCACATTCATTTAAATATGAAATAAGGTCAGTGAGGATGCTCGGTATGTTGGGTTAGCATTATGGAGCCTAAAAATCAATCATTTTGACGGACAAACGCATTACAGTATGATTTATTACAATATTTACAACAACAGAGGCAACTGTCTAACGCGAAGAGCGGACTTACTATGGAATCTGGCTTTGATGCTGGATGCGGAGCAGCGTCAGGGAATCCTTCCTTCGAATCGTCGGCCCAAACGTCAAGGGCACGAAAGACAACAGAGGCCTTACCAGGTCGATAGACTTTCCTATGAAATCACCACTTACTTCAGGTTAAAATCATACTTTTTGGTGGCAGTGCTAGCAGTAGGGAGCTCTGGATGATCCTTGGCCGCCTCCTTGTCACCTTTTACGATTGCCGCTTTGTTCTTTTTCTGGATGACGAAACCTCCAGAACTAAACAGCCGGGGATTAGAAATTAGGACGGATACCTTAGCGCCTTTTCTTTGGCGACATCACTTAGTTCTGATCCAAGGTTCTTTAAGATGTGCCTCCATTGCTTTTTCTTATTTTTACCACGATTTTTCATTCTGAAAAGCAAAATGCTATTAACTAATGCATGACGATTGCATTAAAAGGGTTGACAACTACTGATAATATAATATAAAAATGAATCTGAGCCAAAAGTGTGCAAGAATAGGATCAGAAATACAAAACAAATAGACATAAACTACATCCATTTCACTAAGATTCCAAACAGCTTAAATACACACCAAGTCATACCAGACAATAAACTAAACTCACATAGAGGCACACTGAAAGATTACAAACCGGTGAAAAAGTGTGTAAGCACAATTGGACAGGTACAAATTCACAAATCCATTAGCATTAAAACGAGAAAAAAACCTTTATTTTAAATAGAGACATATACAACGCAACGTGTCAGGCAATTTGTCAAAATGAAGGTACCGCAGCCCAGGTATGTGAGCAGTTTACAAAATGCACTCCAAAAACAGTTCTAAGAAAATTAAAGATTGTCAAAAAATTGCTTAATATTCAGCTAAGGGAGAAAAATTGATGTAAGAGCATACGGCAAAAAGAGCCGTACTTCAGTTATATACAAAAAGCATGCCTTACTGAAACGACTACCGCGGGTTCAAATAAAAACATTAAAACACGACTAAAAACGTTAGAAATGGATATACAGCACATGCTCATTACTAGACATGAGATATTGCACCAGTTTTATCTTAAGTCATATTTTTAGAACATTAGTAAGAAAGTTTAGTCCTATAAACTAATATCACCTAGCTCTGATAATTTCATTAATCCAAAAGATGTTTGACTTCTTTTAGGTTCACTTGAAAGAAAAAGTTACTCCTTCTACCTTGACATATGTCGTAGGACACGCTTAGGGTCAAAAATTAAACCTTTATGGGTTAGTGTTTATCATAACTCCTTAGATAACCTGAATTCATTTAACTAGTCCAAAAATTTTAGGATCAGTAGTAATTAATACGTAAAAAGGTACCTTAAAAACAGGGCAATATATGCATCCTATAATATTTGTTCACAAGTCAAAATCAATTGTTGAAATGTTCTTTTATATTCGTATTGTTCAAGCTTTTGAGATTCATCAAAAATGTAAGTAGATAGTGGCAATGAATAGACGAGCATTTACAATCTCTTAACTTTTGTAAATGGATGGATATGCTATAATATTAAACTTTTTATAAGATGATTAACTTATTTTGGCATACGGAATGCTTAAAAATGCCAAAAAAATTTGAGGTCTACCTATTTTTTAAGCTGTATGGTTAACATTTTTGCGGATAACAATTGGTTTTCTCCCTTGTTTGACATTGTAAATGCAAGTTACTGTTTAATTTTTGTTCTTGAGTATCATTTGTCAATATTCTAAGCCTCAGGCCAAATTGTTTTTGAACAATTTTAGCTTACGAATTTAAAATTATTAGTTATTAGGTTTCACGTCTGCCACAACAATCCATGATGTAAATTTTCCTGACATGTTTCTAACGAAACGTATGTCCAGAGGAGGATTGAAATTTGCTGCATTACGTAAGAAAAAAAATTATGAATATACTTTCAAATTTAATTTAAATTGAACAATTTATCCTTTTTAATTAACTAACTAACTATGCATATAAGTACAGAAATAGATTTAATTTTATTTAATTGCTGAATGGGCTGTTTTGTCATAAAGGCTTCATTTGCTTATAACCCATTAGATAATTTTTTGCTAACTACCAACGCGTCTATCTGTCCGCGTTACTTAAAATAGTGCGATATGGAGGTTTATAAGACACATGATGTATGTTAAATTAACAAAAAGCATGTCTGTAATTAGTTGGTATATTCCTTGGGATCAACACGGCAAACGAAATCTGAAGTAATTAAGCACAAAGTTTCTGGGGAATTCTTTGTCATTAAAAGAGTAAATTCTACATCGATAAATTTACTGTTTGCATCTAGATTGAATGCACAGACGTCAGACAAGCTAACAAAGCGTTTTCTGAGGTAACGGGAATGTAGGTTTTTGACATTTAAATAGTATGCTAACATGAAGGAATTTCATCATCCTTTATTTGCAAACATTAACAATGTTTTCATTCATTGGAATCCAGACGTATGTTTATTGAACCCAGATGAAATTTTAGATTTTAACGTATTACATTTATGTGGTGAAAGAACACTTAGAGATGCCAAGTCTAGCTATTATTATGAACATGCATCAAGGCCTTGATCCAGTTCCTTTAGGCGTAAGATCCGTTGTTTTACAACCTCGATTAGCTTTTTGAACTTGTGATGTGTTCATCAGTTTGTGCCCTTTTTGATCTAAAGCAGAAGGGCCTTATTCACAGGTAACCCACAATAATGTTATTTAATCCTTAAGGGCAATTAAACCCCAAAATATTTTCACTGATGAGGTTAAGGTGAAAATTAACGATGCCGCTGTTGAAACCCTTATAAATTACTTACGAAAAAACTCCAAAAAAGACAGAGGTTCGTATTGAACTGACTCTCGATTATGTGTTAGCGAATTCTTAAAAACTTCACGTCATCCCTCGATCATTCCTTCATACTTCGTCAATATTAACATAATAAGCAGAGATTCTGCCAGAAATGCAAAGGAACATCTAAATCAAAAGTGTCTTATTAATTTAACTCAATTCCTACTTACACTCACATCTAATGTTCCAGGAAAACACCTGGTTTTTTTCCGAACTCATACGGATATTTCCGCTGATTTCTGACAAAAAGTAAAATAACGTCTCGCTAAATCTTCTACTCATAGTTCTGAATCGAGTGATTGTGTCAAAAAGTACTTGTTAAAACTTGTGACATAAAAATTACGGTAGGTGGCCAGAGGCCGGTTAGTTTGCCGTCACACAGAATTTTATGAAGTATTCTCTCTTATTTTTGTCAATTTATTTAATTCCTCGTCCTAAATCTTCCAAATAATCTGCAAAATTTTGCCTGACAGCATTTGTATAGCCTATGTTTTGGCAACACTTCGCCCTATTAAGCGTCTACATGGAACACGAAGTGGAAAAGGGTCAGTGTTTTCAAATACGGAAATATGACTCGCTGGAATGTGGTTAGTTGTTGCCCTTGTCACGCTTAGTAAGTGAACTAGCTATATCCTAACCTTGGCAGATTTCGACTCTGTTTCTCTTCCGTTATTGCTCACTATAATTGCTTTAGCATGCGACATATATTGCGACGAATTGCTTCTAAAATCGTGTTTCTATATTCTGAAGATGAGATTTTCAAGTGGTCACCGCCAGAGTCATTGAAATGCGGCGAAGTTTTGGACAAAAGTGATGCCTGGTCCCTAGGTTGTGTCCTTTTCAAATTACTCTACTGTGGTTTGGGCACGCCTTCTGAAACCAATAAAGCGATGACCGTGGTAAGAACCAAAGGCGAAATACCGCAGACGGCGCTGGAACAGCTGCATAAAGTAGGACACGGTTTTAGCATGTTCTTAGCTTGTAGGCGTATCCGTCTGAGCCAATCGATTTGATCAAAGGAATGATTATCTTGGATGCGGAAAAACGTGTGGGCATTACGTAAGTGACTAAATTAGATTTCCCATATCCGCTCATAGGCAAGTGTTTGAAAGCGCCTATCAGCAATCCCTGATGGATCGGTACGACTGCGAACGAAAACTCAGGCGAAAGCGCCTAATGAAACCGACTTCCGAATGTAATTTGTTTTTTATATATCTTAAATTAATGGGTACTGATTGTGTTTGAGTAGAGCATTTCAAACACTCAGGCAACCCGCCCACGGAACGTGGATTGTCAGCAATGCTTCGCTTCCTTACCGAGGAAATTGAGAACGAGAACTGCATAGCTGCTGCCTTGACGTGGATCGCAGAAACTCACTGTCGCAACGAGGCCTACTTGCCAGCCCTCCTTCCACTCCATGTTTGGCGCGTTTTTCTGGTGCACAAGGAAAATCCCGTCATTGTGCAACACGGCATTGCAATTCTAACACACTGCACGTCAGTCGGTAGAATGTACGTACGGGAACCTACCATATTCCCCCCAAACACGGACTCCGATTTGCTAAGCTGCTGTGATCTGCTTATCGATAACAGCACTTACTGGAATGAGATCACGCTCAGGCTTGTCTGTGACCTGGCTACGAGGCACATGGATACACTGGGCGTACATATCAATGTTCTGGCATTGTTAGAAGTGATCTTTTGCCCAACCACTTGCTTATGCTTTCAAAAAAAGACTGAAAAGGAGTACTGGGCAAGGCATGGCGGTGTGGTTCGCAAGGTTTGCGAAATCGGCTTCAGCGAGATCATTCTGAAGGCTCTCACGAAGGTTCATTTGGGCAACGTCGACATTTTGCGTCCTGCGTTGGCTGTTCTATGGAAGTTGTGCATTGATGGTGCGTCCGTGTGCACTGTAGCCTCACCAGTAAAGAACGCACCAATTACTATCAGTATACAACTTGTTTTAGACCAAAATGCGAAACAATTTATTGAAATGGGCGCCTTCAAGCTGGTCTACGATACAATGTTCTTCTTTCCTAAACACCCTGGGATTATTAATCAAGGCGCACTGTGCTTGGCTGCGCTAGCAACTGAAGGTAGCTTAATAAGATAATACGTGCTACTTGCATATATTAAGTAGAGCAATAACGAAACGCACTAGGTTTTGTATTGATAAATGGTCGAATAGTCATTATTGCTACATGAAATGCACGACAGAATGAGGAGACCAGACGAAGCTACCAGCCAGATTTATTTCCGTTTTAGAGGCTCTACATGAGGATATGTTCACCAAAGTTGACGTCCTGCCTCTCCTACTCAATACAATCTACGAGTTCTGCGGTTACACGGATATCTTCTACAATCTCATGCTCTGTGTCAATGTGATCATCCGTCGATCGGGTCAGTCTTTTTATTTATCAAATGCGTAGTCCTTGGCGCCTAGTGTCAACTTGAAATACTGGTTTTTTGGGATTGGGATACTAAACGCTCTACTGATCTGTTTACTAGTAGTAGTGTTAGTTTGATTGGTTTTTAATCAGACAGATTGAGCGTGCCCCCCTGGCCTATGCTGTTAGAATCCTCTACGTACTTGCCACCCGCCACGGGTACTTGAAACGGGAATCATTGGTTGGGTTTTGGAAGGACATCCAAGGAACCGTGACATTAAACGTACTACTGATTTGCTTATTAGTAGCAGTGCTGGTTTGGTTGGTTGAGCGTGTTTTTTTTCGTCCACGTGCTAGAGGAACAGATCCTGCGATTTGTGCAGCCGCACATCAAGGACCAGGGACGCGGACTGGTCGCGCTCATCTTCAAGGCCTACGCGGTCCACCGCGACAACCAGAGAATCATCGCAATTCTCGTCAGCACGCTGGAGGTTGTCATGGGTTACGGTGAGTGAGATGATTCGTTGTACTCACTAGCTCGTTAAGCATGCGAAGACACATCAGCAATGGAGTGAGTAGTGTTGGTGCTGGCAGAGCGCTACCACTGACGTTTCGTTGCACAAAAGCCAACTTTATTTCCCAAATATCTCTAAATGCTGCCACCGAGTGTTGGCTGTTAAAACACGCTCTCAGCCAACAGAACCGACGTGCTAGGCCGTTTAAATAGTAGTTTACAAGAAGTGCGGCGAATTTTTAACCGCTCTTTTTTACAAAAACACAGAAATTTTCTAGAGGTCTAATCCCGGTTTTGTCACACTTCCAAACACTTCCTAGCACATCGACTGCCAGTCTTCCGGAAAATTGCGGGTTAATTTAGGAAAGTAGGTGAATAATTGTGCGAAAATGCCCAACGCACGGCATTAACAGAATTGGTTTCCTGGGTAAAGAAATCCCGACCAATGATCAGTGTTCTACTGCTGACACAGAACGCCTGTGTTGCCGACTCACGCAAAAACTGCACTAGCAAGTAGACGATTGAGATCCAGGTGACAGAGGTTTGATTGGACAATCACCTGGGACCCGTGCATGCAGGGTTTTTTGCATTCAAAACCACCGGTTCAGCGCACGGCCACCGGTTAGTAGCCTCAACAGCTGCGCTAGGAGGTAAGGTTTAACCACCAGGACGAGCAATCCCGGCGAAATAAAAAGAAATGCTTATTAGGCATCGCCTTGATGAAGATTTACTCCGCAGGAGTGACTGCGAGGCGATAGACTAAGACCTCGAGACGGTAGAACCGACAGATAGCTACGCTTCGTCGATTCTAGAAGCCGAACCGACAGTCACATGCGCTACACTAAGCCCAATTTTTCCACCAACGACCAAACTACATAAGATAGAGGCGTGGCGGTCCACACTCAGACGACAAGCATCGAGGACGGTTTTTGTTGGAATGCGTCGACCGCTTCTTATTTCTTCCTAGATGGCATACTCGAGGCCCTAATCGACGACCTGTGTGCTATGAAAGCCCTCCTAGAGGAGGTCTGCAGTCGGTTCCCCAGCGTGGAGGTAAGTCGGTCTGCAGGGCCGCCCCCCACCCGAAGGAGACAGTAGGGTGTGCTCAAGAAGAAATTGGGAGAGAGCCGACGTAGCTACGACCCCTACCCACATGTCTAAACAGCTGCCAGGGACAAACTCCTTGTGCTTGACTAAATTCGATACCTAAATAAGTTCTGGATTTATTGATTCAACAGAGACTCCTAAAACTCAAGAAACGTTCATGTGTTCACACTAACATTTTGCCAACTTTAGAATCTGGGAGACGTGGCGAGAAGGACGTTGGAGGGGCTTCCCGAGGTTTACAGCGCCTACGAAGAGGAAGAGACACTCCCCACCGTCTAGACCACCCACACTTACTGACTCCCATCCGACAACAAAAAAAGTAGATAAATGCATCTATGACCAGTGTTCTCGCACATTTTCCCACAACAGCTCCAACTCCCTTTGGGCAAAATGGGCAAAACACGACCTCGCAAGTTATCAAAATGGCTAATCACCCGAAGAGGCGTGATCAACAGGTGGTGGCATAGTTCTCTTTCCTTAAGCGTCAAACACCAACGTGTCACGTGTTCAGTGAGAGTATTTATAAGAGAGAGAGAGAGAGAGAAGGAGACAAAACGAACACTATTTTCATTGAACTACGTTGGCGTGCTCGCGAACATCACTTTTTCGAGGTGCGTTTCTCCCCAAACGTGTCCCTAGCAGCCGGATGGCGCACGGGGTCGAAGTCGGGGTCGTTGGCGAGGCGCGCGGAGAGCCGGTCGGAGACGTAGGTCTTGAAGGCCTCGGTGATTTCACGCGGAGGAGGCATCTGCGGCGGCAGAGATGCGCTTGCGGAGACGGCATCTCCAGCCGTTCCCTCGGCCTGCGTTAGCGACACGGCCTCGGTGAGGAGGTTCACAAAGAGCTGGTCCGCGGGACACACCAGCGTGTGCTTCTTTTCAAGCATTAACTGTGGGTGAAAAGGACATGCGTCATTAGCCAACACGGGTATTCATTTGAGCGGAGAAACTACATCACGGTGGAGTCGGCGTTGAGCCAATTTAAACAAAGGACTTAAGACGAACCCTTCGTCGCTTGGTAGGCATTCCAGCGATGTAGGCGTCGGAGAGACGGCACACCGAGCCGGTCAGCTCCTCAACCTCCAGGTCCTCACTTTCGGTACTGGTCGCAGCCGGGGACGAGGCTTGACTACTGCTGCTGGCACCTGCCATTCTTTCCACATCGCTGGCAACAAGCGCGGCCCATTCTTGCGGGAAAGACGAGGGCATGGGAGGCGGTCGCACCGAGGTGGCGCGCCAGGCACTGTCGGGGTTCTCGGCAAGGGGGTTGACCGGGGGGTGCTCGTCTGCGGGCCACTCGGGAAGCGGGGGAGCAGCGGGTGGGCGGAGTGCGGTGGAGGTCGACGTTGCCGAGTCCGCACTGGCCATCGGGGCGTCCTCGCTGGCGTCGAGGTAGGCATCCGACACGTCGGAGTCTTCAGCGGTTTCCATCTGGGGAAGAATGATGAAGTCGGTCAAGTCGCGCCAGAAGCACTACTTTGAAATAGCTGCCAAGATTGGCCGCAGTTGGCACATTTTTAGAAAAGTTCTGTCATGAACTCAGGAAATCAAATCCTTCGGGAACTTTTAAGCTTTTCCACACACACACACACACACACACACACAACACAACACACACACTGCAAACACAACTCTCTAGACACAAATGAGCAACTATTACAATGTAATCAAGCATAAATCAGATTACCGCAACGTAAAACAACGAGGTTTTAACTGATTTCATGAGACGGTAATCAGATATGCAGGATATTTTGAGCGAACTGTAGCACCATGAGGTTAATCGTGTGAAAGCTAATACCAAGTAGGGTATTCGCGAAAACGCTGAGAGATTTCTTGAAGCGAATGGTTACAGCATTTGTCAGTTTTATCACAACTCTGTGGTACTGTTGACGTTAAAAAAGGGGAGCAAAGAATTTTGACGCAATGACAACAGCTTCGGAGCCTTGACGCAATGTGCACGCAAGGTGGCCAGTAGAGAAAACGTCAAGAGACGTCGAACAGACGAATTAGCGAGTGAGCAGTTCACCCGGTGGCTAGTGAAGAGCACTCACAAGGCGTTCTGAGAGCATCTCAAGCGAGGACATCGATCGCCGACACTACTTGGCCTTAAGCGTTTGCAGTTATGAAGCCTGGATGAGTAAATTGTGGCTAAGAAGCTAAAACGAGTCACGCGTAATTCAAAACGCCAGGACGAAGGGGCAGTCGCGACGACAAAGACAGTCGAGTGTTGGCAGGAAAAGGTTCATGGGATTTGATAATAGGGGTTGAGTGGGCCCAGGATTGGAGACGAGAGAGGGTGCACTACCGTGGGTCATTGATGCAGTTCTTCGTTGCCACGTGACTGAGGATGGTAGGTTGTCGTTACCAAAAGCTGGGTCGGATTTCGGAACGGGTTTGACTCAAATTACGCCCCTAGATCGGTTATCGCGGTGGAAGGAAACGTTCTTGTCGATGTTTCGTCCAAAATGCGCACCGTGCGGTTTAGCAGCATCAGTGTGGCCAGGAGTAGGAGGTGGAGAAGGAATAAAAGCGTATCCGGCTAGATCAGAGAGATGCGCAGCACGAATCGCCGACAAAACCCAGCCCCCTCCCTCCTCAATCACTAACCAAACCAAAACGACAAGCACGCACCTTCAACTTTGCCTCAACAGGAGGAACCGGAGGCGGCGTGGTTGATGTCAGCGGCGCCGGTGGTGTCGGCTGTTGCCTGTAGGCAATCAGGCTGAGAGGATCGCTTCCAGTGTAGGTGGACAGTCGTGACGCCTCGAGGCTGCAGTACGCTGACATGGCGTTCACCATCGCAACACGGAGGAGGTACATTAGGCGCCGGTCGTCACTGTCCTCTAAACCGACGCAAGCAGAAACCGCTTTTAGTCGCCACTAACGCACTCAGCCCGCGTCAACACAAAGACACCAGCGATGGCTTACCAGGCAGGGACACGGTGAATCTTTGCAGATGTTGGAGCAGTGGTTGCAGGGACATGGAGTGGCCGAATGTGTCGACCCTACCGCCGACATTGACACCGCTTTCCGGACTCAGTCCTAGACGGTTCGCCGCGGTTTGGGCCAGGAAATCCATGAAGCCAAACAAATCCGTGACAGACTGTTCCAGAGACATCACCAGGAGGCTTCCGAATGCGCTGTCTGTAGGACTGTGGTACCATAGGGACATTTGGCTCATTATGCGATGCTGAAATCGCCGAAGCGGGCTTGATTATATGACTGATACACGCAAGTCGCATTAAAGACGGATTAACAATAATCAAATCCACTGAGGTTAACAACGAAGTAAGATTAAGACATTCTCTGGATAACTCACTGTCAAGAAGTTGTACAGGCTTCGTCTGAGATCAACGGGTGATGCGTTTTCGCAAATCGTGGCCGCCCAAGCGACTAGTTCTCGCTCCGGTGCATCGGCGCAGGCCTCATCACTGATACAGTCGGCAAGAAAGGCACTGGCAAGTGCGTCGCGTGTGGAATCCCGATCGGCCTCGAAGTTGGCAGGCAGCAGACGTCGCAGGGGCTGCCTCAGGTGGTCCAGACTGCTGCTGATCGGGAAGTTGGGGTTGGGGGACGACAAGTGGCCGGACGTCCGCAGGCTCTCGCGAAGGTGCAGCAGAACCTGCAGAAAGGGCGAAGGACTGTCGCGACTCCAGCGACCGACAACGTGAGCACTAGGCGAGGCCCAGGCAGACATGTCCACGGTTGCTGTTCATTGGGGGGTAAAAAATATCCTCTTAGATGGCTACACATTTGGGTGGATTTACTGCTTTGTGGTCTAGATCAAGAGGAACTCACGAGCAGTCTCCGGCGGTAGTTGATTTTGAGCCAGATCTGCGATGAAGGACCAGATGGTTCGCAAGGCCCCCTCCATGAGCACGCCGGGGAGAAGAGTCAGCTGTGTCTCTCCGGTGAGTTCTTGGTAGGCAGGTCCTGTGGACGACCCAGTAGGTTCAGTGGTGGGAGCAGTTGAAGGACCTAGATCAGAAAGTGTAAGGAGGGCGCACCAGTAACCACGGAGAGAGCTGAACCAACCCCTCCGACTAATTAGCTATGCACCACGTGGTGACTACTGCCTGCTGGACACCTGCGCGATAAATTTTAATGAATGGCAATCCTGGATTGGCGCGGTGTGGCTGAGTTTACCCAAACGCGGATGGACAATTAAGTATGGTAGGAACACAGCAAACAAAGCGTAATTCGATAGTCGTGTTTGGTTCTGGCACAGGGGTCACAGGGATTTGTAAACTAGGTCATAACCACCGGACAAGACATTGTGACGGCGAAAAACCCACCCGACACAACCTGCACACCGCCGCCATGCGGGTGGTTGAGAACCCAGGTGAACGGTCCGAGCACAAAGCTGCCGCCGGTGGCGTGGCGTTGCTGCTGCGGTTGCTGTTGTGACTGCTGGACCAGCCCTCCCATGCCGGTGGCCAGCGCCTGAGTCAGCTGATTGGCGATGTCGTTCAAATTCCTGCCGGCTGCCGCGGTGGCCGAGCTGAAGGTGCCGAAGTGGTTCAGCGGGATGCTCACTGAATGCACTGTTGTCGTCGGAGGCTAGAAGGCGAAGTTAAAAAAAAGTTGCTAAAATATCCCAAGGGAGTATACGCAAAATAAATGTAGAGTGATACTGAATTTACGGTGGGGAAAAATTAGGGTGCAAAATCATCAGTTCCAAACATGAAACCACAAACGAAATCGAGAAGACAGTGGAAAATGACTGATCGAAACGCGGTGTTTTGGGGACAAATATGGTTAACATGGTGTGTGCGCCAGCTTTGTTTTAAATCGAACAACATCCTGTACACAAAAAGGCAATTTTACGGACAAGTGCGGTTTTTACTATTAAAGAAAAGCACCACTTAACCACCTTCAATCTCACAAATTCACCGGCATCGACGTGACCGTTGTTACACGTGCGCGTACGCACACCCAACCAGCCCAGACCCTATGCAAATTGATTGAATAGCTGGCGTACACACGCTCATCAATGCATACGGTTGACACAGCACGTTAGTTAGTGACTTGACTCGATTCGATTACGATCAGGTAGAGGGGATAGAGCAGTATGATTTAATACTAAACCAACAAAATGGTGTATCGAAGCAGCTAGGAGCGGGTAACCTACCGGTGCGTTGGAAGTCGGACCGGAAGATGGCGTCACCGGCGTCGTAGTCGTGGGAGGCCGATTATTCACCCGAGGAGCGTCGACGTGCGCCCCCGCCGATCGGCCACGACGCTGCGTCGGTCCGACGGTTGACCGAGGTCTGTGCCGAGCACTGGCGCCTGTGGCCAGATACGCAAAGTGGCGCGAGTTGCAGGGCAAAAAGGGATCGCCCACGTCACCGCCACGCCCAACGCGCCTGCTCGGTGGAAACAGCTGGTGCGGCAGAAACAGCGGCGCCCGAGCCGACTCCGTTGTCGACCCCGACGAAGCCGTGTTCACCACACGCGCTTGCGGCTGAGTGGGCTGAGGCTGCTGCTGCTGCTGCTGTTGTGGGGATTGGCGTGGTGCCTGAGTCGCCTGGTTGAACATGGATTGAAGCAACAAACCTGCGCTGAACGCTTGGGGCTGACTTGGGTCCTGACCAGAAGCGTCGGCAGGTGTCTCAATAACAAAGGTGGTAGGGAGGTTGAAGGCACCCTGGGCCGCACCCTCTGGCCGAGCTAAAATATCACCAAACGCACTATTAGCATGCACACGCATATATTGCAGTCAGTCCGGTCAGTTAAGCAGACTTAGTTGAGAAGAAAATCCGATTGTTGCATGGAGTTACTTGTGCGATTAAAGCTTTGGCGAGTAGTTAACTGACACTTCCGACAGGTGAACTAGCCCTGTGTGTGAAGCTACGAAGTCCGGAGTGTAAAATCAAGCACGAGGGTGAGAAAAGGCAAGGCAAAACCCAAGCCACTAACCAAATAGCGAGTCTTAGTGCAACTCTGGCCGCCGTTAATTCTAGCGCTAGATCATCCGTGGAATAGCGTAGCTGTGACCAGCCCCTCCCCTCCCTCAGGTCAACTCCTTCACTGTCGATATGACTCAGCGATTTCCCATCGAATGAAACTGCACACACACACATGCACGCACGCACACACACACGCATACACAGATAGCTGCAAAGGCATGACAAAGTGTGCGTGTGCGCAACGAATGTTCTGGAACGATATTCCGCCTCAAAAGTACTTTGAAGGTATCAATAATAAGGAAAGTCAGGCTTACACTCGGAAGCAGCGTCCTCCGTGCCCAAAGGAGCAGGTTGATGAGCTGATTGGCTTCGTCGCCTAGGTAAACAAAGGTTCGGTTAACAAAAAATTGTCAATTGCTACGTGTGACCCGGATCGGGAAATGCTAATGCGAGATCACATTGTTTGTGAACATGGGAAAAGAAAGAAGGCTCATTTTGTCAGTTTCATAATTTGGGAGAGAGTGAAGCAGTGCTTTACACGTTACCGTAGCCCCTGATAGTTCAATATTTTGAATAAAATTAAATATAAGCGGTGCTATGCCAAAGATCCTTAATTCCTTTGTGCATAGCATAAATTTGGTGAGATTGACGGAAAAGAAGCAGCTAAATTACGTTTGCAGTTCATCCAAAGGAGTCCAATCTACAACACTAATTGACTGCATATGAAATGACCGAAATTAGTACGAATAGAGCTCGATCATAACACAATCTCATGCGAGAACTCACCTAGGCGTTTCTTCACCACTAGCGTTTTCAGTCGTTGGTTCTGCGCGTTCTGCAGTCATGTTGCCTAAAGGCCTGGTGAAAGTAACTACGGTGGGTTCGATGTTTATGTGCGCATACACTACAGGTGATTCGCGTTCTGGAACTACGAGTGTGCGCCGTGGATGAGCCTGACGTGGAGGCACAGCAGCCGCTGCTGACTCTGCCGGAGCGTCAGACGTGATTGTTGTCGGCGTTGCGGTCCTGGAAGGACCGGAGGACGCCTGTGGCTCAGGTGCGGTCGGTGTTGGCGTCTGGGTGCGCGCAGTGGAGGCAGCAAAGTCAGAGAGCAGGTGGAGCATGTGCGAGTTTTGATGAAGGAGAAAGCTGACTTGGTTGAAAAACTACGTAAAAAATCAAGAATACCAGATTTATTGAAGCTGCAAAAACACACGAATAAGCCAATGGGTTAAAAATTAAGGAGTATGAATGGAATTGGCCAACAATTTGAGAATAAGGTTCACGTAATTACTACATAAACCCAACATCCTACCAAGTTCGAATGGAATTCACGCTTTCAACATACGTGGCGGCAGAGCTAAATCAATAAGAACAATTTTAGCAAATGAACGGGCTCATTTAAATAAGAAACCATGAGGAAAGATGGGCGGAAATTTCTCGGCTTACACGCTGGGACCACTCAACATGTGGTGCTGATTCCGAAACATCCATGGGCTCCTGCTCCATCGGTGTTGGAGTGAGTGGTAAGTCAGATCCGGTGGCGTTTACTTCTCTAGAGGACGAAATTCGGGCTTGTGCTTCGTGTTCACTACGCAGCATGGCCTCCCACTGATCCAAATGAGGCTGCAACCTTTCCCAGAGTCGCCTCTGTTCGGCCATCATATCCGCTAGACGCGCGAAAGTGACGGTGCTAGATTGCGCAGGAGTGGCCGGTGCAGTGGCATTGGAAGCCGCTTCGGTAGCGGAGTTCTGATCATTTACACCAGTAGAAGCGGGCGATGAAGTTGACTGTGGCTGAGGGTTTTCCGACGGCTCAGTGCGAGCAATACCATCGAGTGAATTTAGCAAACTCGTTGCCTGACGGTGCAGACGTCGAAAGTGATTTTCGCGTAGACCCAAGAATGGAATGTCTAGACGGATGTCAATATTACCTTCATTATCCGTTCGCATCGCCATGCTACAGAAGAAATGTGCGTTAGTTTATTGACCTTGAAGCAATAAACATTAAACCGGATTGCTTACTCAGAAGGCTGACCCAAGTCTTGCAAGCTGGAAAGGAGGCCTTGGGTTACATTTTGGACGGCCTGTCGCAGACCTTGGAACCGTAGCATATTAGGCAGAGCAAAAGGTTGCGAGGGAAGGTCACCAGGTGTTGATGAAGTTGAAGGGTCAGTGTCAGTTTGTAGCTGAGGCGGAGGTCTGGGAACCAAGTGAATAGTCTTGGATTCAACATCTACACAGAAAATATACGACAGGAAACAAACACAAAATTAGTCACAAAAACGGTAATAATACCATCGAGAACCCATCGATTCCTGATTCATACAAAATTAGACGCAAGAATTAGGTGTTTTTAATGAGTTACTAAACCCTTAAACATAGGCCAGTGAAGGCTTTGGACAATGCAAACTTCTGTACTAATGTTTTAGGTCATAGTTAAGAAGGTAAGTGAGGGATATCATCAGGGGACCACACAAGGCAACTAAGCAACGTTTAAGAAGGAATTTAAATTTACCGCAATCTTTCAATTTTCTCTCGTCTACAAGAACTTTTCCTTGAAATATCAACCGTTGATTCTCGATGGGGATATCCTTCAAAGTAGAAAGTTACAAACAGAAACTTACCATTTCCGTAGCAATTAATTGCTTGAAGGCAGCTACCGTGAGATCCTAAACAATTACAGGCTAGAAAAATAAATTACCTCATCGTCAATTTGAAAAGTTTTTGAGTTCCCATCAAGCGTTTTGACATTTACTTCGAACATGCTTGCACGAAGAACCAGCGACTTTCACCGACTTACTTACGAGATCCAGGAAGGTGCAACAATGACAACAGGACAACCCCCCAAATGTCACGAAATTCAAATACTGCGGAAATTGAAAGTCTAATTAGGGAGTAATAAAACCTTTAAAAAAATGGAAATTGATCATTCATCTAGTTTGCAACCCTATTTGATTTATAGTTATTAAAAAATGTTTCTAGACTAAGTTTAATATTTTAAGGTAGAGCAGCAAACAACGCTTTCAATAAACTGCAATGAGAGGTGTTATTCCATTATTCATGAAATATTTTCAATAACAACAAGATAATATGTTGACAAATAATATAAATGAAGTTGTTAACTATGTTACGACCATAAAAATGCATTTTTGCAGACATTTGAAAATATGAATAGCTGATTTATTTGAACCGTTTTCACACTACTTCCACACTAATTGGCTTTTATACTAACCTTCATCCCTCAAATAGCTCGAATTTATGTTTTCGGTCTAATACTCTGCATGCGTTCTATAAAAGTAAATACTTGAGCAGCCCCCGCCTCTAGCATCAGCTTCGAACGCCCTTATTGTTTTTTACCTAAAATTGATGTTGAATTACTTAACATTTTTGAAGCAATTCTATAAATGCATTAAAAATGCAAAGTAGGGCATCGGTCTAAGTGATTTAATCATGGCTGTGGTTTTCTTAAAAAATTCTTCAAGCCGAATTCGCCTTATTCTTCCACCAATTCTAATTACTACTGTGTGGAAATTATTTTTACTAAATTATCGATGTGTATAGGGGCAATTAAAAAAGAAACCTAAAATCAAAAATTGAAATTCTTTAAAATTTAGCATGACGCGGATGCATGATATTTTTGAAGCTGTGGTTCTGTTTGCTAACGCAAATTCAAAATATGCGATTTGATCACAATCGGCAAAGGTAGAAAATATTTCTGCTTGTTAATGCTGAAATAGTGAAAAATGCGAACATTTCTGTCCAATAGTTTGTTCAATTTTGCGTTTTCTATATGCCCTAACAGTAACGCTTTATAATGAATCAATTTCTTCAGTGAATAATCATTCTTGAAACGGAAAAATAGAAACACAGGAGATTGAATAACAAGCATGTCATAGACCTCAGTTTCTAATAAAGTCATCGTAAAGCAACTAGAAATGGTAATGTGGATTTTTTTACTTAATGGGAAGTAAAAATGCTGAAGTAAAAATCAACCGGTAAACCTTCAAAAAAACGTTGAAACCCACTTTCCCTTCCGATGTGAATATAGAAACTAAGATTGTTTTTTGCAATTCATTGCTAGATCTGCAAAATACTGAAATGTTTGTCATGGGAAATTAAAAAAAAGAAATTTAGAAAAAAAATTATGACCATCAAATTTGTTTTTTTGAAACATATGACTTTAAAGGCTTGAAATTACATTAATACAATATGGGGAATTCTGGAATTCTCCTCTGATTTAAAAAGAACTCAACTATCACTTCATTTGCAAGCCGTCAGTGGCCAGTTGATTTGTCATCAACCGTGTCAGAAACTGGGACAGTGTTGATGTCGATTATGACCGCGACATTTCCACTCCCAGATCAGTTTATCCTTGATATCTGTAAAAAGTTTGCGTGATTGTGTAGCGGAATTTACGCAAGACTTACGTGTTTCGAGTAAAGTGCTACGCAAAATTAGTAAGTAGAAACGCATGCTATCAGACGAATGAAAAAATCTGGAATAGTCATCGATTGAGTAAATTCAATGTATTATGCCTGTTGCATCAGCAAGAGTATTACAAATCAATTTTTGTCAAAATCGCCCTGCGGCATGCCCAGGTTTTGCATTCTCTACGATGGATTTGGAAATGTGTCTATTAGTCAATAGACGCTACTCGCAATTCGTTTAAAATAAAAACGAAAGCATAATGACTAAAGGAGGAGCGATTTGTAGGGGGGTGTAAATGTCACGGCCATAATCGACATCAACACTGTCCCAGTTTCTGACACGGTTGATGACAAATCAGGTGTCCGCTGACAGCTTGTAAAATCAGTGATATTTGGTTTTGTTAAATCAGCGGAGAAATCCTGTTGCAAGTATTCTTTAAGCTGGAGCTTAAACCAATCTATGTCAAGCAACATTCGTCTCCCATTCAGTCTTTTCGGTTTGTTTTTCGCTTTTTTATACCTTAATGTCGCTGGTTTAGAATACCCGAGTCCTAGTATGAAGAAGACTGGTACAACAGAACAAGCTTTATTGACTAATTACGAGCTAGAACCAATCGCCAAACGTCGTCCATACGAGTCCGCCACGCTGGCTGCGCCAATAATTACATACCCTTTCTCATACGTGTCTACCTCTGGTTGGCTGCACATTTTCCTCGCATGCCACTGGAATACATAAAGACAGAGGATTTGCCGAGTCCGGCGTGGTCCAATATGTCTGCGCTCCTATACGCAGTCACACTGTCAAGTATTTTGACATATTGGATTGCGTACAGTATCGTAGAATCGACGAAAGGCGTGTAGCCAAATAAGAAGATCCAAATGTGGCACTAATTTTTACCCAAAATATAACTCTCAACTGTGACAACTGAACTTTTAAAATCAGGTGTGCTTTGGATAAAGAACACTAACGAATTAATTTTAACCTAGGGCTGACATTACCACGGTAATTACTGCTGTCACCGATTGATATTTGTTCATATAGGTGTTGTTCCCTCTTACGGATTCACGCACAGATGTCGATAGCGATCATCACAACAAGTGCGACAGAGGTATAGGTGAGTTTTTCCAATGCAGAAAACATTGTTTGTCTGGTCCGAGTATTCGATACTTCCTTCGAACGAGGACAAAAATGCCTGAATTACTGTCAGCCCATCGCCCCGAGATAGCCAAACATCAAGGTTGTATACCAGGCATGCCAGCTTCTGCATTTTATACGCCAAAATGATATTGTGGGTATTTTTTATTCTGAAATGCTGCAAGGCGTCTTTAATGGCAGTGCTTGATTCTTGACCCCGAACGAGCCGTGACAGCCAATCAAAAATTGTTTGAAACTAAGTGTTTTTTATGCCCAATGAACACCGAATTTTGGTTTGAAATGCCACTGAAATCCTTCCAATGTCAGAAAAGTTTGAGATATCGTGAAATTTCCATTGTGGGAATTTGAATTGACCTCAGACTGACCTCTCGGGGATGAGTCATGTGGGTGATGACCAACCCGCATCCACGATATTTCAACCCCTGACTCCTAATTACGCCTAAGCTAGTCCCGACAACTGTACGATTTGACCAAATTTGCAACTTTTGATGAAACCAGAATATGTTCCCGATGTGCAGGTTTTCTCTTTTAACCTCTTACCTGCCCGGAGTCCTGTGTAGATGCTTCCGATACAGCCACGCTCTATTGGTTTGATTACTTTAGATTAAAATTGATTTTTCGGAAGTTCCGGGGAGCCTAGCAACATTATTCTTGCTCCCACTTGAACCAGTTTGCTAGACACAATGCATTGCCTTATAAAGTGGGTGACGCAGCAATTGCCTTTCACTTCAGATTACAAAGAGGTTGAAAATTCATCCTAGACCTTCACTCCTGTGATCTAACTAATACGACAAATTCTTTGTTTTAGTAAAGAAGAAAGTTAGAATATCGGTAAATCCAATCCAGAACAGGCAGTATGTCGTGGCTTCTGCGGGCCCCTATCGAAAATCTCGGTGTTAGTGGTGCCCCGGTCGCGTCTCACCGAATTACGCATCTGGGCTTGGCTACCTAACTGCCACTTTCAACCCGGGCGTGAATCTTTTCACTTAGGCTGCGATGCAATCACGCACGAGTGATATATGGCTTCGGATGACCGCAAGATCGCCGATATTACGACATAACTCCCTCCCCCCGGTCTAATCACATGTCCGGCGAGGTTTTAAGGCCGCGTCTGGCTTTTCACGGGTCCTATGTGTGTGTGCACGTAGATCTGTCTAGATTAGTAGCCAATTCGGTCCCTTATCTGGGTAATCGATTAATTGGGGCACAGCGACAGAACTTAGACGCTGTAAGAATAACATTGAGACCTCAGAAACTGAGGACATGAGGGTTTACCGGATGATATTAGCTGAACTGTACTGCTACAATTGTGTTGAAGATCGCGACAGCTTTGAAATCGCAGACTTACACATCGGGAGTCATGTCTATTGATGATCCTTCTGATTTGAGTTCGGGTGACATTAGATGTGGGTAGAGAAGGTCAAAATGGAAGGTCAAGTGATATTGTTTCCACATCAGCAGAACCAGTCTATCGACGACTTTCTGCACGAGTCCACCAATCAAATTTGTAACTATTCAACCAATGAGAATAACGTTCAGGGGATGTTTAACCATCGATCGCCCACATGTGAAGATTTCCAGCGCAAAAATTAGTCATTAACATGCCTGAATTTATGACGGAAATCGATAAAAAGAACTTTTTATAGAAATCACGACTCAAGGTTAATGCAAGAGGTAAGGAAACAGCTCACGAAAACTTAAAAATGCCAATTCATTGACGTTTTTGTTTCTATCTACATTACCATCGCCTATAAAGCCTGATTTTGTGACATCAGGGGTAAAATGTATGGTTGATTTTTACCGTAGGTGCGACCAAAGAAGTAAGTTCCACGTAAAGAACGATAAGTCGGGTCAGAATTCCCGTCCAACTCAAGTCGGTAACACCGGTTCCCCTTCAGCAGAAATAAACTATTGATTTTTTCGTTTATGCATGGAACAGATGGTGCATGGTGCAAGTAACACATGATTTGTCATCATCCTTTAAAGTTACTTTTCTCATCTTCAAAACACACAATAATTTGGAAATTTGTTATTTTTCATTGTACGTAAGAACTAAAACATGCCATTAAAATCTTCGATTATTGTCCAAACACTAATTCAATCCTCTTTGGACATTAAATCAACACCGTTTGGAATCGATATTATTGATTTCGGTTTCCACCTTCGATTGAACTCACGGTT